CGAAGGACCTCGCGGACATGCCAGGATGGAACCACGATGGTGAGGCGCCTAGGTCGAAATTGTAATGATGTGCAAACGAAGATGGAAGACAGGGCAGTCTAATTCGGAAGGTGGTATGAATCTAGTGCGCATCCTCCTACGTATCTCCACGTCGTGCCTTATCTCCGGAGGTTTTGACTCAGACAAGGCGGTTGAGTCATCTTCAATACTCGCCTTATCTTTATCAGCTTCTGCCTAATAGTACTGGAGTTGAATAAAGGCCCTCACAATCCAACTGGCAATCCAAGAATCTGCAGTCTTCTATTCAACACCTATCGAGCTCAAGATGGCTGCCGAACTCGACGCCGCCTATATTGCTCGTCTTTCCTTGCACGATCCTCGTAACTTCAGCATCCAGCACGCCCAAACCCTCCACCGTATAAGGCTCCTCCAGCAATGGAATATCTCTTATGGCTCGAGGGTGCTCGAATTAGGGTGCGGGCAGGGAGATTGTACGACTGTCCTTGCTTGCGCCGTTGGCGAGCAAGGGAGCGTAGTGGCCGTCGATCCAGCAGACTTGGGTTATGGTAAGTCCTTCCGAACTATTTTTTTTTTCTTGCTTTCCTGGTAGGCGTATAGACGTAGTGGGTTTATGACCTTTTAGGTTCTCCGTATACCCTCGGCCAAGCACAAGATCACATCTCACAAGGACCGCTCGGAAAACAAATCACGTGGATTCAACAACCCCCCCTGGAATACCTCTCTTCCCTTCCCATATCGTCTTCTATCTCTTCGGCACTCACCAGCAGCGACAAAGCTTTTGACGCGACAGTGCTCGCCCACTGTCTATGGTACTTCCCCACCCCCTCGCTCATCCTCTCCACCTTCCGTGCCATCAGACAGCACAGCAAGCGTCTTCTCCTTTCTGAATGGTCTTTGATAGCGACACATCCATCTGCTCAGCCTCATGTACTAGCAGCACTTACGCAGGCAGCGCTGGAGTGCCGTAAAGGCAACAGCATCTCGAATGTTCGCACTGTCTTGGGCCCAAAACGACTCATCGAGCTGGCTTTAGCGGCCGGGTGGCAGCTGGAGAACGAGACGCGCGTGCAGAGTGACGAGGGACTGATGGATGGACAATGGGAAGTCTCCGCTTGCCTCTCTCCCTCTTTTGAGAGAGAGATAGAGGTGAATGTGAAGGATGAGAGGGAACGGGGAGTTATTTTTGCGTTGCGAGATGTATGTGAGGCAAGCCTAGAAGGCATCCAGGGGGGCAGAATGGGAGTCAGGGCGATGGATGTCTGGGTTGCCAGCTTTGTTTGATCTAGCAAGTTGAGCACACGGTCGGGGGACCAAGTTAAATCCCATTACCATTTACCGCCTACTCTACATGACGATTCTAGTGATACATGTACCTTCACGCACAAGAAATAGATTAGAGGATACCTGGAAAACACATGAAGCTAGTAACGACGGACAGATGGAGTCAAACTTTGTGTGCGCTGCCAAGACGTGCCTTGTAGTTATACGCTGGCTCTAGCAGACTCAGCGGCCTTGCGAGAATCTCGCATGACAGACTCAAGGTTCTTTCGCATGATTCGCAGTGTCTACGATTGGTATGAGCTTGGTCTCTCGCTGAAAATAATGGACCACTTACCCGTTTGCATCGCTGCCGAAACGGACCCCGCGGCATCTCTTTGATCTCTTTGGCCTTCATCTCCAGCCACTCTTCTGGAGTACCCGCAGTGAGGTAGTAGTTGAGTTGTTCGGAGAATACGTCTGCATCGTAATCTTCGGTTGTGCTGAAGAAGTCGTAGCCTAGAACTTTGACATCCATGTTGGCCTCGCGAATCATCAAGAATACTGGTTTGATGGTTTCGAGAGCCTGGAAGAGGGCCAGATTCCATTGCATATCTGACTCCAGATATATCTCAACACTGAGTTCTTGACGATCTCTCAGCATCAGCAGACTCTTCATGTTGTCGTACAATGCCCTGCATGCTATCCATTTTCCTGAATAGATATTACCATAGTCCTCATCGATCGTGATGACGAGACGTCGTATAGCATCCTTGAACGAGAATGCCATGGAACCAAAGCGGTCGCGTTCAAGGTAGGCGCGGACATAGCGATAGTCAAGCTCAACGTTTGAAAGGTCCTTGAAGTACGTGGTTGCAGCTTCAGATGCGAACTCCTCGCCCACCAACGCGGCGTTTGCGAAACGTGGCACAGGGAGATATTGTACTCCTGTGCCAGCTTCGTCGGCGGAATGATATTTGGGGACAAATGAGATAGCGTCGTTTAGGCTTCTGATGTGCTCTTCTGTCCACTGATAGTTGTATATCTGGTCTCGCAGTTCGCGAGGGAGCTTCTGGAGGATGATTGCCGTGAATGATTGGCATAGCTGCAGATCTGCGCAGGCCGCAGCGACCTGATAGATAGGGCGCTCGACGGCCTCTCTTTCTCTCATGAGATGACATAGCTCGGGATCGCGCTCAAAAAAATACTTGATCTTCTCACGTCTAAGTGCTGCTTCCTGCACGGCAAGGCGCTCTTCTCGCAGTTCAAGCCCATCATATCCTGGTACGTCGGTGTGCATGAACCAATCCCAATCGTCGGTTCCGTTTACAGATCGCATGATCTGGTCCTGCCTCGTTTGGACATTTTTCTGGATTTTGTTGTAGCTTGGAACGAGTTTCTTGCCTTGATCGTAGAGACCAAGAACACGAGAACGATCTCCAGCATTCAGACCCCAGAGCCGATGGTCAATGGCTGGGTCTGATAGCCTAGGAAGTTTTAGCAAGACGAGACGGACGTATAGAGCCGAGCAGCATCGTACGCAGGCGGTTGTCTCGCTGCTGTCGAGTCGGACCGATGTGGCACCAAAGTCGCCTTGAACTCCATCTCGTGGCCAGACATGTCGCTCGCAAGAGTGCTACAGAAAGAGGATGAAATTGAAGGATGAAATTGAAGGATGAGCCTCAGGCACGTCGCATAGCGCATGGATCCCGTCAACGATATCCCATGAAGTATGAACATGTCAGGATCCTCGGTGTTGCGACAGCGGTTTCCTGCTGCATTCCGGCTAGTCCCGAAGGAGGCTTACAGCGCCTACGTCATTCACGAGTTGGAGACAGGCACGACTCCACTAAATCCTCATGCAACCAGCCTCGAGCAGGATTCTTGTGAGCCCGCACCGAAAATGCGCCGTTGCATCCATGAATGGTCTGACCTTGTTCATCCGCGCGCAAAGGGCTGGCCTAACCACCGCGCATCGCACTACACCGTTGACAACGTCCCAACCATCATCGGACGCTACCAAGACGGAACCAGCATAGCTACGCTTGCCTATAGTGGACCTCCCGCAGCCATCGCGTGAGCGCGCCTGCCTTTGCGACAACGACTCTGGACCACGACATGGCGCAACAATTCCTCGCTGACCGCAATGGCTGGCTGTCGTTCCGGAGCAGCACGCCCGTGCTGTACATCACAGCCGAAGACGCCGAGTTCGACATCGAGACTATGAAGGCGTGGCGCGACGAGGGCTTCATTGTCGAATACATCCCTATGGGCAAAGGTGGCAAGCAATACGTGCAGACGCTTCACAAGCTGGGGGACAAGATGGGCATTGGGGAACGCTACGCAATCGTGGGTATACAGCCCTTTCACACTCTGGCGCATGTCACGAGTATACGTGCTCTGCGCCAGCACCCTCCGACTCATGTACTGACCATGGCTCTGTAGCATTCGGTGACGCTGCAGCCGTATGTCTAGACGTCTACTCGGAACCCAAAACCGCCACCTCGAAACTCTGCTCCCTCATCGCCTACTATCCGTCCTCCATTCCCGATACACGTCACCGCTTCACATCGTCCTTTCGCGTGCTCGTACATCTAGCCGAGGGCACATCCGGAAACGACATCACCGTTGGTGTGACGCGTCGCCCCGAAGTTCTTGGCATACAAGGCAAGCGACGGACGGTGCAGAAGCGCGTCACGCACGGTATTGGCGCGGGAGGCTTACAGGACAAGATACTGTATCCGTGCTTCACATACGAGGGCGTTGATGCAGGCTTTGCAGAGCACGATCTAGATGAATACGACGCCGTGGCCGACGCTATCGCATGGAGCAGGAGTTTGAGCACTGTTCGAAAGGGCTTCAGCGCCGAGGTAGATCTGGAGCGGCTATGGGAGGAAAACGAAGAGCGTATGCATGGCGACCAATCGTATCTATTGTAAAAGCTAACACTCAACAGAAAAGTACCGCGGAAAATCGCTCGATAAGATCCTCGAAACCTATACCAAAACCCCGACACCATACGTCAACTTTACTCCGACTATGACCGGGGCAAGCGGCCATCCAGATCTCAAGCGCTTCTACCGCGACTACTTTCTCAAAACGGCCCCACCATCAATGCACATGCGGCTCATCTCGCGCACAATAGGCGTCGATCGAATAGTAGACGAACTTTACATCCAGTTCAAACACACATGCCAGATGCCCTGGATTCTTCCTGGCGTTGCACCAACAAACCAGAAAGTCGAGATAGTCGTGGTGAGCATCGTGGGATTCAGAGCTGGAAAGATATGGTGCGAGAGGTTTTACTGGGACCAGGCTTCTGTGCTTTTCCAGGTCGGCCTCATGGATCCTGAAGAGGTGCCTAAGGAGTTCAAGAAGAAGGATGACAATGAAGATGGTGGGCTCGAGATGCTACCAGTTAGTGGAAGTGAGGCAGCGAGGAAGGTTATGGATGTGGAGAGTGAAGAATTTAATGACATGATTGATGACTGGTGAGAATAACGGACATCGCGGTGTAGTTTTGGTAAGTCAATGTTGGCCGTTCTGGCTTGACCAACTCTACATTATATTTGAATAATAAACAGCATGATCAAGAATGCCTCTCCATGAACTCCCATCAACCTCGTCTTCATTGTAAGGCTACAGACAATGAAACGCGCAGCCGATATATACCCTTGCGTACGCTTTCAAGATTCTGAAAAATTGCATCATCCGATACGGCTTTATTCTCCCTTGCACTCTTCAGCCCTGACTACCCGTTAGCACTCAGCGCTTCACACGACCAAGCTGATCTCACCTTCCACAAGATGGCCCTAGTAGAACTCATAGACAGAATCATACAAGCCGTTAAGCCCTGCGTTTCTAAACCGCTGAGGTATATAGGCATTCGATGGTGGCTCGCGGATCCTATGTACACCGTCACGTATCGAGTATGTAGGCCGGTGTGGTACGTCAAAGTCGTCGTCGTACGCCTCATACGCGTCATCTTGTTCATCGTATGTACGCTGGAGGAGTTGTGCATACTCTCGATCCTGATCCTCTTGGCGTCTCCGATGGGCACGAGAAGGTTGTGCTCGGTCTCGCAGCGCTTGCCAAACGCTACGGGATGAATGGCGGTCTCGTCCGTCCGTAAGCCGTTGCATATCAGTACGGCCGATTGGTTCGCGGGTGGCCTGGTGAGTGTCGCCTCTATCGTTTCCCGTTCGACGTGCTGCATCGGCTATCCTACGGGTATCCTGAGCCTGTGGATGATGTTCTGGGTTTCGCTGCAGGCGCTTCCGAGCACGAGGAGTAGCGGACCGGTCATCTGCACCATTCCGTCGAAGTAGACCTAGCTTGACCCCAGCCTGTCCGGGTAGTCGCAGTAGAGAGGCCACAAGACGTTCTGATCGAGACACTAGCCACCTCATACGCTGACTTACTAGCACATCCCAATCGGATTGACGGGCTATAACGCGCATAACCTCAGAGGGTACTTGCACTGGTCGCTGCTGGGGTGGTTGGACCCGTTGCTCTTGGGGTTCTTGACTCCATCGGACCATGCTGTCTTCTCGAATGAAGTCTGTCGGTACTTGGACCCGTCCTTGCTCGGGTTCTTGGCTCCATCGAACGATGTTGTCTTCTCGAAGGAAATCTGTCCGTACTTGGACCGGTCGCTGCTGGGGTTCTTGGCTCCACCGAACCATGTTGTCCTCTCGAATGAACTCTGCCAGTACTTCCATTGGTAGCTGTGGGATCCCTTGGCTTGTTGGAATTACAGGCTCTTCTCGCACAACGCCTGTAGGTACTTCGATTGGTGGAGATTGAACCTCTTCGCTTGTTGGGACAGTAGTCTCTTCTCCATGTAGAGGCGCGCGGCAATTAGGACACAAACCATTGCCACTTTCGATCCAACGTTTTACGCATTTTTCGCCGAAGATATGATGGCATTCGAGAATTATAGGGGGGTGATTGGCGTCGTATCCTTCCATGCATATGGCACATTCGAGAGACTCGAGGGAAGAGAGGAAGGCCTGTGCATCTGTTGGTTGCGTCATGGTGTTGGTTGAGATGGCACGCAAGAGAAATAAGTGCTGGCTAATCCCACCCAACTGTGGAGGCGAAAGAAATGCTTGGAGAGTCGACTCTAAGTACAGCTGAGTAGCTGGGAGCTGCAGTCTCCCTCGTGCACGACCTCTTTGGCGTAGACTTTCACTCAGCCCTGAATCACATCATGAGCCAAACTATTTTCACTGGGACTGGCGCAAGCAGTACAACCCTTGAAGCAGTCACGATAGATTAAAAGATGAGATGAATGTTGACAAACGGGTCTTCTCGAAGATCGCGAAAGGCAAGCAGAGTGATCTATTTGTATACATTTGTGCTGAAAGAAAACTAAGAAACAGCATATCGTGGGGCGTGATGGTGATTTAAGGAATGCATCCGAGGCTATCTGGCTCGTAAGACCAGGGAAAGCTCGTGCAGCGTTAAAATGAAATGACCTAAGAGACCGTGGTAACTCGCCGTAGCATCGTATACGAAGGTGAAATTGACGAGTGAAGAGCCCCTGAGTTCCGGGTCTTGCGGAGCCTCGCAGACATATCGAGACTTCAACCCTGTGATCTCACATCTGCTTCGGGGCTCGGTGGCGATCCGGTAGGCGAGCTAGCGTGTTCCGGTATATCGCTCCGCTCGGTCTCCATCGCCACTGGCAGCTGAACTCTCGACCCTCCTAGCTCTGTATCGTATAAATAGGACGCCCGATTCATCGAGTTACGAGATAGGCGATTGCTTGCACGCGCCCTCCCCATAGCGATATTTCTGATAGCACCGCCAGTCGCTGCCGAGTCTATCGATAGTCGAACCTCCGCCCTGTTCCGAGCATACTGCTGCCATTCGTGCACAATACTGTACATCGAAAGAGGGCGCGAAGACTCAGATCCGCGGCGATCTCGATGTAAGGTATCGATCAGTAATTGGTGTGTGGTAGGAGCGATACTGATTCGTTCAACAACGGTTTCGGCGTCTGATAAATTCGCTTCGCTCATGCTCAGTGGACGATTATGGAAAGTCTGCGTACTTCCCCGAAAGACGTCCCAGTAGTCGTGAGTGCCAAAAGTGTTTCCAACGAAAGCCAAGGCAGAATGACGTCTGGTAAGTGGACGATGAGACAACAGCGAATCTTCCGAAAGGTTTGCCTGCGTTCCACTATTGATCATGACTGGGTCACTGATCGGAACAGTGGACACGGCATACTGTGTTCTGAAGTCTGTTAGTTGCCTGCGGCCCCATTCCCAACGCTCTTGTGGAGATAAAGCATGGATCGCCTCAAGGTCGAGATCTTGGAGCGAAACCAGCGCATTCGTTGCGGCAGCTGACCGGTCGCGGACATTAGGAGACTCCTGAGTTGATTCGCCTTGGAGGTCGACGTGAGTCTCTGTAGACTCAGCCAGGGATTCCGAGTTTTCCACGATGGGCGCTATACCAGCCGGTAAAGATCCCCCGACTTGGCGATGGCGATCTTGGTCGGAGCTACTCTCAGGGAACCTTGTAACTGGGGGACTGGGCTTTGATTTGCGTAGTCGTGCTGTAAGCCTCATACTGAGGCGAGAGAAGGCCTGCCGACCTTTGGACCAAGCGTTTTGGCGGAATGTCGCATACCTCTGGCCACCCGAGCGGATATGGCTGAGACCTGAAGCTTGTTCCCCATTACTGGATTCAACAGACACTGGCCCTGGGTGACTGCCGATGGATGCTGGGTGTTGCTGGGTGTCTCTCTGAGCGGTTGACCGTACAGATGTCTCCCGGGATGGACCGGCCGGTGTGCTTTCCGGTATGACGGTAAGAGTGGGAGATAGTGTGGCGATAGGAGTGGCAGACTGTATAGCCCGAACCAGAGTTTTGCGGAAATCAGCCTCAGCTGCAAGCGTCTCCGGCTCTAGACTCTTTGTAGAGAGAAGAGACAGGCGCGTGCCATTGAGTTTTCCGAAGGCCAACCACAATTTCTGGCATTTGTGGCAATACACATCACCGAATTCAGTAGAGTCGCCCGAAACCTGAACATGCACCTGTACAGATCTGTGGTGATGATGGCAGGTCGAACAGTTTCCACTGAGGTTCAGTGCCCAACGGCCTTCGGATAATCGTGGGACACTTTCGACGGAGGAGATCGTGTCATGTCTGGTAAGCTCGACGACGGGTGCGGTTCCAGTAGTAAGTTCATCATTGGTGAACGATCCGTCTGTAATAATGTGGGCCCGAGAATCCATCTTTGGAAGAAATGTCCGGGTCGTTGTCAGGGCTAAGCGATGAACCGGCTTCCACGACTGTGTTGCCCAGAAGAGTTCTTCGCCTGATGCATAGGATGATCCGGTCAGACAAATACAGTGACCGAATTGAGTAGAGTCAGTATAGTGTGAGAGTGTATCCGTGGCTCAAGGTCGAATCAGTCTAGGGTAGGCTGTATGGATAAGTTGGATGAGGCTGTGAAGTGCTGTCTTTACAAATACACACGGGTGTAGCGGAGCTTTTAACAGCCAGGCATACATGTGGCTGCAAGGCAGCTACAGCCACAGATACTGTGTGCCTACTTCCAGGCACCATACATCCTGGCAAATGACTTGACGATGTGGGAAAAGTGTTGAGGTCGAACGGTGGCGCAGCACGCTTAGAGATGCTTCGCCTCATAACGAACCTATGGAGGTCGATAGAGTTGGGGCGGGAACTGCAAACTGTGACGTAGGAAACGTGTGAAATTCACCGAGAGAATACGGTGAGGTAGTCCCCATGATAGACAAAGAGCTTGCTAAAAGTGCTTCCAAAGGCCGTCCTGGATAAAATAAGCATCGAGACGATACCGAGCGCGACCTCTGGTACACGCGAAGTACGACACGAAGACGTACTACGCGGAGGACTGGATGCGATTGAACGTGCTAGCCTTGAATCACAGGCAGCACTCGTGATCGAGACATAGCTATCGTGCCTTCACTGTTAGGTCATGTCGTTGCTTTTTCCTGTTGTTCCGTAAGCATGCCCAAATGCGTGCGAAAGAGACGTGTGCATTGCCAGGCAGCGCGTCGCCTGCTCGCGCACACAGCCCCAAACTGTCCGCACTGGGACTGCATGGGTGACGACGGGAGAACTATGGCGGCAGGAGCGGTGAAGGAAGACGTCACACGCGAGTGCATTGACCGATAGTTTGCGAGATGAATTGTATCGCGCGCGAGCGATGGACGGCACGCAAACCACACAAATTACAAGAGCACCGCTCGTGCGAGGACGGGACTGAGTCGGTGTGAGCAGGTCGTCGTCTACTCTGCAGCCTCAAGCCCCATGGAATCCAGACGCGCATGAACTCCAACAGCAAAATAGATCCCAGAATGTCTCCCTCTGCTCACAATACGTAGCAAGTTGGCGCTTCACTCTTCCCACATGGGGTAGGCAGAGGAGCGGAGTGGTTTTGCCAGCGGAGGCCCGAAGCGGTTAGAACGCCCGCACGTGCCATTTCCCTTGGCAAGCCAACACTCGCAAGCGAGAACGATCGAAATTCCTCCCACTGTAAGAGCATCGACAACACCACATCGACGACGTACGACAAGCCGCCATCATGTGTGAGTATACCCGGATTCTATCGACTCATATCAGTTGTTGCGACCCTGGCTTTGATCGCGCCGAGTGTGCCTCACCCAGCGCGTGGAGTGGGGTCGCAATAATTGATGTTCAGACACTCGTAATAGAGACATGCTGACAACTTTCCAGCGCTCGTCTCCGGAGAGAAGTCTAAGTACGTTCATACAAGAGCCTGCGATTCCCCGTTCAGCCCTCGGCTTCCTTCGCATCGAACCGCCTAGTCCTATGAGTCCACACGACCTCGCAGCCGCCTTCCAGTCCGACAGCACTCAGAAGCCAATGGGAGGGAATAGAGTAGACAATCGTACGCACCAGGCGTTGCAGAAAGATGAAGGGAACTATCTGTGCAAGGGGAAGCTTTGTTGTGCTGTTCGGGCTGGAGTGGCCAATTGCGATGGCTGATGGTTTTCGGATTGCGGAGGTCTACGCATAGAGGCGGCGCACAAACGCAGGCACATTCGCACAATGAGAGCAGTGCTGACTTTACCAGCTTCCAATACATCATCCGTTTGTTGAACACGAACGTCGATGGCAAGCAGAAGGTCATGTACGCCTTGACCAAGATCACGGGTGTCGGTCGCCGATACTCCAACTTGGTCTGCAAGAAGG